GAAGGGGCAGTAACTTTTCCGGTAGGAGGGCCCCATCTATACCCGTGCAACTTCACCGGACTGGCGAGACCGGTGGCACACGAAATCCCATCAGAGCGCCTGCGCCGGCGTGGGCTCGCCCTGTTGACCTCGTTTTTGTCCTGATTTGCTCCCGATTGTGTTTGATCGTGTTGATCGAGCCTCATCGAACCCGATTCGTTTCGAGTCGATATCAATTTGAGTTAGATTTATTTTATCTTATTTTATTAAATTAATTTTGGTCGAGTCGAGGCGAGTTCGAGTTGACCCGGATCGAACCAAACCTTACTCGATTTTGAAACGAATTTTAGTCCCTCGGGTGTAACTAAATCCTAATCAAAATTTGATTGAATTTCCAAATTTGTTTGAATCCCACCGTTGGATCAAAGAATTTGATCCGACGGCTCCGATCTCCCCCTCTCGTGCCCTAACTAAGGCGGAAGCCCCCATCTCACTGACTCTCTCGGTCTTGGCAAGAAAAAGAGCCGAAAGCCTCCCGTCCACGGGGACTCTCTCCTTTGTTCGCACGAAGCCAAGCCGAAAGCCTCTCCTCTCTTTTCTTCCTCTCTCGCACGACCCTCTTGGAGTCGGCTTCCCTCTCTGTCTCCTCTCTGCTCGGACGACACCAGGAGGCCTTCGCCCTCTAGTTCAAAAAGACCTAGAGAAGCCAAGGGATTTCGCTGCTTCTCTCTCTCTCTCTCTCTCTCTCTCTCTCTCTGTTTGTTCGCCCCGAGCCCACTACCTCCGTCTCCCCTCTGTTCGGACCGAAGCCGAGGAACCTCCCCTGTTCGTCCGACCTCAGCCAGGACCGAGCCCAACCGTAGTGGCCCGATCTCCCCCCGACGAGCCTTCTCCCTCTCCCTGCTTCGCACGATCCCAGACCGAACCCGTCGCTTTGGCCGACGCTGATCCGAGCGGCCGATACGAGCCCGTAGCTTCTCCTACCTTCGAACGCTGCAAGGTAAGCTTCTTCTTCTTACTCTTATTCTCCCTCTCCTTCCTCTTTTCTTCCCTTTCCGACTTTATTCCCTTTATCCAATTAACATGCATTCATCAACCTGTGGTTGGAAGAGTTTGATTTCTGTTTAGAACTAGTTTGGTAAAACAGTCCCTACCATCTATTATTGTTTAGTTTTGTTATACTTAGTTGGTCATCAAATGATGCTTTGATGCTTTTGGAAGCGTTGAAGGCTGTTGTTAACTATGAGTAGTTCCACATAATGCAAGTCAGGTAATGTGTTGAGTTCTGTTGTTTGCGAGTGAGCAACTAGTGTGTAAATTTTATAATTGATTCATGTCATATGATTAAAGATCTGTTAGGTGTAAGTGTTGCAAAATCATGAAAGATTATGTTCGTTTGTTATAAAAGTGTGTATGCAAGGTGCCTATGGAAATGCCTATTGGAAGCAACATAAATATTTTTGGCAAGGGTATCAAGCAAGTATAGTTTTGTTTTGCTTAGACAGCGTGATACAATTCCTTCATAGAATGTCAATTCACATGCATGTTCTCTCTCGAGAATGACAAGGAAGAATGAATATTTACGAGATAGTTGCTTTGCTTACATTAAAAAATCTAAAAGATTTTTTTTTTTAGTTATTTGATGGAACACGTGTGGAGTTGAAGGTCATTCCTTCATGAATTTGTTCCTTTCATTCAATGATTGTGGATGGATCTTGTCCTTCTCTAAAAGAAAAGTAGTAAGAGTGAGGAGAGACTTTCTTCTTAAATTCATGTTGCATTATATATTTTTGTGTATTGTGTTACATAAGATAACGAAGTGGATGATATTTGGAATAACTCATTTCCTTTGGTGAATATCTTAATATTTGAAATGTGCATATGACAGTACTTCAATTTTTGCCTGTTGGTAGCCTTTGTGAATGTGTCGCTTTGAAATATATTGGGAAGGATTCACACATTGTGGTATTGAATTGGATGTTAGCATTTTAATGAATTTGGAGAGGTTTTATGTGAGCTAATCTCTTTCCTTTGGATTTTTAGTGGGTTAAGGTTGGTCGAATTAAAAAAAAAAATGATTTCTTTCGTTGCCCTCTTAGGAACTTGAAATGGACAATATTTGTTTTCCTCCATTTAATATCGAATCTCTTTGTTGTGATGATTGCCTTCAAGGAGAAATGACAATGCTCTTTGTATTCGTTCATTTGGAATAAGACTAAGTAAAATTCGCCAATGTTTACTCTTTCCTTTTCAAATCTTGTTGATGATATTTGTGAGCAAGCATTGTTTTCCTTATAAGCATTTGAGTGCAAGAATCCATGTTGTAAGAGTATGAATTTTATCACACGAGAAAAGTAGTCTAAAACATGAATTGTTAGAAATTTTGTTGTTCTTCAGATTATACATTTGCAAGCTTCCTTTGAATACTTGTTGGCATGTAGTGTGGAGATTGGAAGCTTGTTGGGAAACAATTATGCATCTCATGTCTTGAGTCAATGTTGCAATGTTTTGATGATATGTTCTCTCCTCTCTCATTAGTACGCATTGGAAGTAGGTTGTATTTTTGAAAAGTATTTTGAGTATGGTGGAAGAGAATTTGAGGCTTTATGCAAAAATCCTATTATACGCATTTATGTCTTTTGCGATGGAATTTATGTATGACACTTTGAGATGTTTCATGTTGTGTTTTGTGATAAAGGAATTGGAACACTTCTTTGCATTTATATGGAGAAGTTAGTAATTATTTGGGGATATTTTGTGAATGTTGGAATAAAAAAGGAGTGTATGTGTTGGAAGATTTCTTGAGTTGTCAGAATAGAGTTCATATGAGTCATGCTTCGTTTTCTTGCTTAGTCTCATGCGGTGAATGGAGAAATAAAGATGGGAATAATACTTTGTATCAAGTGGAAGTTGTTGGACAGTGGTTCATATTGTGATTGGGACATTGCTTCTAACATTTTAGAGAAGTGAATTAGCTCCAAAATTTCTTTCTCCTTATTTGCATTTGGCTCAAGTTGGATTGAAATGAAATGGTCAGATTTCCTTGTGCTCACATGGATATTTGGTGGCATGCAACATAGAGAATAGAGAATTTGCTAAGGGCTCTTTTGAATCGTTTTATAACTTAAAGGCTTTTACGATTTATCTTATATATCAGAAATTTTCATGATTTGTTTTGTGATTAGAAAGTTCTACAAGCTATTTTACGTTGAAAGATTTTATGAAAGATTTTGTGTTGGAAAAGATTTGTGAATGTTTTATAATAAAAAATCTCATGAAATCTTCTCGTTAGAAGAATTTCATGAATTTTACCCCACTCCAAATGTCATAGAGGCGCTTGATTATTGGTCTTTTCCTGTAGAGTTTTGTGTCAAAAGATTTTCATAGATGCTTTATGTGGAAATTTGTGTAGTATTTCATTTGTAGGTTTTTCATGAGGTATTTTGGGACTTCTAGCTTTATGATTAGCTTAGTGTGATAGACCCGTTGGTGTCTTTTTAGAACGAGGTGATATTTCATAAGGAAGCTATCTTTCTTCTTGCTCGCACTTGTTTTCTAAGTGGTTTTAGGATTAGTGGGTAGTAAGATCATGTTTTGGGTTTTAAGTGGGAGGTTTATTTTGGGGGTTTGTTTCTCTTTGTCGTTTGGAGCTTTGTTTAGAGGGTAGTTAAGTTTGTTTGAGTTGAGTCTTATTCTTT